AATACCTAACAGCTGCTCATCTAATAGCAGCAATATCTAATAGAACCTTTTCTGACCATTATCACATTCAGTTTTGTACATTAGATTTGTGCCCATTCCTTTCCTGGCTGGCTAGGTAATCTGAGCTCCATGAGGGTAGAAGCCTTCACGCTCATTGTTTTCCTACTGGGCCTCATAAGTGTTTACTGAGTTGCATCTCATTTAGAGAAGAGACATTCATTTGAGAGCAGGAAGACATAAGAATCTGGTTCTTCATTCTCCTCTTGGGTAATGTCTCTGAGTTCTGATTGCAGTGGGCACATATCTTGCCCTCCATGTCCCCTTCCCACGAACACTCTCACCAAGTTTTTAGCACTTTCCCACTAAAGCACCTCATGCTTCCTATTTCATCACAATTTACAATTTTAGAGGAAGTTACTGGGAGAGGTTAGAGTGTGAAACTAGACATAACAGGGGTGGGGAGAGGGGTGGCACACAGGAAGCCTTCAATAAATGTTTGTTGAATAACAGGCAGATAAATGAACGAGTTAATGCTCTACCTTGGTCTAACAAGCATGCAAGCTGCCCAGTTTCCAGAAATCAGGCCATCAGGGAATCTCAGAGGCGAGACTGGAGAGTGGATACTAGAGCCTGCTGAGCCAGAGCTCTGGTAGCCCCTCCCTCTTGGACTTGGAAGATGGGCCACCTTGAGGGTCTGAGGACTAGAAGCCAACTACAGGAGGCAGGACCTGAGATTCTCGGGTGGAGAACTCCAATGCTGCTCCTCCTGCCCATGAACCTGAACATGGATGCCCAGCATGTTGAATACCAACCAACGTGAATGTATGAGAAAATCAATTGATGCAGGGGGGAGGAGCCAGGCCACTGGGAGGAGATGAGTTGCATATGGGTGTCAGACAGTCTCCACATCTCTTACCCTCTCTACTTACGCAGCATTTCATAATAAAACCCTACAGTTTTTATTTTGTTTTTCTTTTAGGTAATGTATGTTTATATTTTTTATAATCAACATGCATTACCTCTGTAATAAGAAAACTAAAGTATTTTTAAATATCAGTAATAAAATGCAACTATAATAATGTCCTTCCCTACTTAGAATTCTCTGAAGACTCCACTCACTGCATGCCTCCTCCCGCTCCTACCCTGATTCATTCACTTGCTGTTCTTTCCAAGGCACGTGCTCTTGCTTTGCTTCCAGGCCATCACGGGGGCAGTTCCAACTGCCCTAAACACTTTTCCTTTTCGACTCTGCCATACTTGGTCTCACTTTAAATATCACATCTTCCTGGCACCTTCCCTGACCCCCACATCCAAACCTAGATGGAGAGCATGAACTCTGTATCTCCCAGTGGCCTGTTTTAAGCCTCAGCAGAGCCCTGTCTCTGTGTGGTGTAAGCACCACACGGTAGGCTCTGGGACACCATACACATGTCTTTCTTGTTCTCAATGAATTTTCCAGTTACTAGAACAGTGCCTGGCACTTAGACACTCAGTTAAATGTCACCGGAAAAAATAAAAGTAATAATCATTACCCATGACATTTGGAAAGGTTCTTGGAGACCATCTAGGAGCTCCTCTGATGGCTCAGAGGGTAAAGAATCTGCCTACAATGCAGGAGACCTGGGTTTGTTCCTTGGGTCAGGAAGATCCCCTGGAGGAGGCAATGGCAACCCACTCCTGTATTCTTGCCTGAAGAATTCCATAGACAGAGGAGCCTGGTGGGCTACAGTCCATGGGGTCACAAAGACTCAGACATGACTGACTGACCTTCACTCACTCACTCACTTAGAGACCACGTAGCCTAACTTCTTTTGTGAGTGGCTGTATCACCCAGCTTGAGAGATCTTAGTTTCTCAACCAGGGATTGAACCCAGGCCACGGTAGTAAGAGTGTGAAATCTAAACCACTGGACTGTCAGGAAATCCCCTCCTAACTCCTTCTAACAGCAGGGCCCAGAGAAGTAAATCCAGATTCTAATCCCAGGTCTTCTGTGAGCTGTTGTGTGACCTTAGAAAAGAGTCTCTCCAGCCATAAAATGTGGAAAGTTCTTCATACTCCAACTTTTTCTAGCTATGTTCCTTCTCCCCCCCCGCCAGGTACACAGACAGGGTGGGTAGGTAGGATAGTACAAGAGAATTACAAGGTCAGGTCTGTTGTCTCTACTTGTTCGCCATCAAGTTAAGGAGATAAGACACAGGGAGGAAGTGCTAAATTAAACATTTCTGGTGATTTGGTTTTACCAGAAGATCAGAAAAGGAAGAAATTAGGAAAGTCTGTGGGCATTAAGGCCCCTACAGGAGATAAGGCTTAGGCTAAGCAGGCTGTAGGGATGAGAGAAAACGGTCTCCAGCAAAGAACTGGCCATCCACTGCCAGGGGACATAATCAACAAGTTCTCACTAGGAGGTTGGACTGATGTGGATTCAGACTCCAGCTTTGCCGCTAACTAGGCTTCCCCGGTGACTCAGACAGTAAAAAAAAAAAATCTGCCTTCAATGCAGGAGATGTGGGTTTGATCCCTGGGTTGGGAAGATTCCCTGGAGAAGGGCATGGCTACCCACTCCAGTATTCTTGCCTGGAGAATCCCATGGACAGAGGAGCCTGGCGTGCTGCAGTCCATGAGGTTGCAGAGTCAGACATCACTGAGCAACTAACATGTTCACTTTCACACTTTCTGCTGCTTGCCAGCTATGGGCCTTGGGCAAGCCTCTCAACCTTTCCAAACCTCAGTTTCCTTAAACTCACTGTGAGAATCTGAACGTCTAGCTTGCAGGGGTTTTGTAAGGATTGAATGTATGTGACGGTATCTAGAACAGTGCCTGGTGCTTAACAGGCCATTTTAAATGCCACTTTATTTTCCTCCTTCCAGCCATATAAACCATTTGACATGTCACTGGCAAGAACATCAGAAGTGCAGCTGGGGTTTGGGGACTTGAAGGCTTTTTCTGTCCAACCATTCATAGTCTGTGTACTCTGACATGACTTGCCCAGTGCCTCATCTCTCTCTGTCACACACACACACGCACACACACACACATACACACTTCATGTAAAATCCACAGGACAAAAAGAGGCCATTTCTAATCCCTGATCAGATGGAACCAGATTGGGAGCTATCTATTACCGTCAGTAGGAAAAACAAAGCATCAACTTCCAGTCTGGTCTGAAGTTTTCCTTCCACCCTGGGACTTATAAGATATGAAATTATGAGACCAAATGCCATTTTCTATGGGCCTGCAGGGAGAGGCTTCAATTAAATTATAGAACAATCCTATAAAATACCTTGGAACATTTTATGAAGCTGTTGATATTTCTATAGACATACAGAATGAGGCATGAGCTGAGGGGGAAGTGGCAGAGTGAAGGTGAGGACGGGGAGAAGGGCTGTTTGCTTCAGTTCATTGGTGCTGATGACAGACCAAGAGTGATTAGGATTTAGAGGCAGCCCCCCCAAAAGAAAACAGAGCATAACCTCCCTTATCCTGCACCTTCAGAGGAAAACGCAATAGCAGGTGCTCATGAGTGCTTAGCAAGAGATTATTACTTGAAGAAGAACATTTAACGTTGGACTTGAACTGAGGTTATAATATTCTAGGGAACTATAAACCCTCTTGGGAATCCAATAGAGAGAGCTAGACACTTCTTCATAGGACAACACAAATACACCCTAATTTCTACTTGTGGTGGAATATTCATGGGCTGCAAGTTTACAATGCCTGTCTAACAAAATTTAAAACTTTTCTTAATGGAAACATTTCTTAACTTCATTACCCAATTTCTCACCATGGAGACCTATCCATGCCATGAATTGCTTCTCAGGATGTGAATACAAACTACATGGATTCTTTAAGTTCCTCTAGGATCCAACAAACAAATCCTCAGCTAGTAGTCAAGGCACCCAGGCTCCAAAATGGGCTCTGCCTTGCCTTTTCAGAGAGACACTGGCCAGTCTCAATTCTTTTTTGATTTCAGTTTCCCCATCTGGAGAAAAATAAAGATGGAGAAGTGGGTGGTTTTGACTAAAACAGCAGTTTCTAACCTACATTCTGTAGAAGACAAGTAGCATGCACAACATAAGAGTTCTATGGCCAAAACAAACCAGGGAAATACTGAATAGTCTATTCCCTTCTTGGAGATACACACAACTCCTTAGTATATTAAGGTCTCTGAGAAGTCCTGCAATAAAGAAATCTGATATGTTTGGTTTAATCAAACATTTCCCTACTTGGTTTGATTGTAGCCTTTTTTTCAGCAGAGTAACTACACTACAGTCCCATCAGAGAGCATTTAACTAGCACTGGGTTTAAAACTCAGTAAGGTGTGTCATCTATTACTCCTCCCCAAACAAACAAATCGGCACATGTTATAGAAGGTAATGGAAGGTGGGTACTAAAACAGAGTGGTATGAATTCTAAGACCAGCAGAACACTATAAAATTCCTCCACCCAATCTTTCTTCACCTCTTGGGAATTGGGCAAAATAGTGTGACTGCTCAGGCATTAGCTTTTAGTCTTTCTGTTCTTTCAATCTGTCTAGAATAGTGACTCTCAAAGCTTAGTGGTCATGAGAATTACTGCACTGATGGGGCTGATAATCAAAGGGGGACTTTAACTTTATCTGTGATGTATTATTTCTCTTATATAACAAAAACTGATGCAAACATGACAAAATGTTAACAGGATGAAAACAGGTTAGGGTTAGTATGGATTTCCCTTTTTTTTTTTTTTTAGTTTTTCAAAAGAAAAATATCTAAATAATATCAGTTCAGAGTTGAATATATTTAATAGGGCATCCAGAGAATTTTCCGGGATAATTATGACTCCCCTGATTTTTGCCTGATGCACAGACTTGACGCCTCACCCCCACATGAGATGCAGCTGCCCTCTGATAACATCCTCCAGAATGGGCTTTGGGGAGCACTGACTGGAAGCACCCAGGCCCTCCACCATGTGACAATCCAGGGCCTAACTCTGAGTCCGCCTCCTTATCTCCTGGCTGTAGGACTACAGGGTCAACATCTTCCTGCGGCAGCAGTGGAATGACCCCCGGCTGGCCTACAATGAATACCCTGATGACTCTCTGGACTTGGACCCATCCATGTTGGACTCCATCTGGAAGCCTGACCTGTTCTTCGCCAATGAGAAGGGGGCCCATTTCCATGAGATCACCACGGACAACAAACTGCTGAGGATCTCCCGGAACGGAAATGTCCTCTACAGTATCAGGTGGGTTCTGTCAGGCTCATCACCCCCTGCATCCTCAGAACATGCCTTCTGGGAGCAGACACCAAGAGGAGGGCCGAGCAGCGGTGAGCAGGCCCTGACAACCCAATGCCTTTGCAGAACAGGCAGAGCCTGCTCTGCTGCTTACAGTCAGCAAGGAAGAATCAAACACCGTGGGACCTTCTAGAAGTCCGTGGTTCATTATAACCAGGGGGGCACCAAGGAAGCAGCCTAGAGAGGGAGGGTTAAAGCGAGGCCCCCAAGCTTCACCAGCATTTCAATAAAACAAGATGGGAAAAGAGTATTCAAAGCCAACGCCCACCCCAGGAGTGTTTGGTTACTCAAGATAAATAAGGTCCAGAGAGCTGCTCTATATCAGTGTGCCTGTATACAGCAGTACTGGACTGAACACTAAAACATGTATTAAGAGGGTAGATCTCATACATTTTTTTAATGTAATTTTTTACATAATTTTTAAAAAAATAGCAGGAGTAAAGGCACGAAGTCTAAAAAAAAACCACAGCAACTTCAACATAAACAGCCTGCCAGGTGGACAGTGCTGCTCACAGGTATAAACCAGGGATGCTCCGTCCTGATTATAAAGACTTTCTACCCTCTATTCCTTGTATTGACTTTAAAAACCTGGGACTCTCTTTCCAGGTTGGGAGGTATCCTACAGACACTAGTTGGGGTCAAACATTCAGAATTTTCTGCCACACTCTGCACCCCCATCCCACCTAATTCCCAGTCTCCAAGGCATGGAGGGAAGAACCAATGTCCATGTAATATTCTTACTATGCATCATTCCCTGAGAATTTACCCACTAGGCTGGGACTTTCTATGTATGATTTCTAATTCTCCCAACAACTCTATGAAGCAGGTTTTGTTACACCTATTTTGCAGATTAGACATGTGAGGATCTGAAAGTTTCAGCAACTTGCCAGAGTTCCCACAACTATTTAGTAGCAGAATCTAGATTCTACTATGTTAGTGTGGATCTAATGCCCACTCTGAGCCTAGAAAAACATTCAACAGGCACTCAAATGTTGGATGAACATATTTCTATTTCAAAGAACTTAAAGGAGCACTGGTCCTGAATGCCTCCCCGTCCCCACCAGTTCCTCAAGGGAATATATCTTTTTAATTCTATTAGGAGACGAGCTTTAAGTGTTCTGGCCCATAGGAGAGGCCACACAGGTCCTAATCCCCAAGTGTGACTTGACTCAAAGTCTCCAGAGAGCAGTCAGGGTAGGAGGGGAGGGGGCTCAAGGACCTCAGGAGGGAAAGGAGGCACTGCAGGAGGGCAGACTGGGAGGAATCAGCGGCCAACATGGCCTTGCTCACTTGCTGCCCATCCCACCCCATACACATCCAGACTGGAAGAGTGACAGGCTCATGATGGCCACAAGGCCCTGCTGGCTAGGGATTTGCTGCAGCCAGGCTAGTTTCACATCTCTGGGAAGCTAAGCCCCAGTGCAGCATGACAGAAGGACAAATCAGCAGAAAGTGATGTTCCAAGGTCATTCAACTTCAGGAAATTAACCCAGTGTGACAGTTGCCCCACTTTAGAGCTTTTATCTGCAGAAATTCATCTGCGTGCCCTTTCCCTTCCCCCTTCTCCTCCCACTCCCTCTTTTCCCTCTTCTTTCCCTCCGTCAGTTCTGCCTTGTGCTTAAAGGGCCCACATCCACACCCATGGGTAAAAGCTGGAGGGGGGCGTTCACCCAGGGCTGTGTGCCTCACCATGTGGGGCCAAGGTGCCAGCAGCTAAGCCCCACATGACCACCAGTTAGGGGTCTTTGGGCATTGAGGTTGGCTTTTCAGGACAGCAGTGCTGGAAAGCCCATCAGCAAATACATGAGTTCAAAATCCAAAGGCCAGGAGCAACAGTTTTGAATCCTGGCTGAGCCATCAGCTTGCTGTGTGAACTGACATGTGCCCTTCCCTAGCCTCTTCTGAACCCCGGTTTTCTCACCTTTCAAATGCGGGAGTTGGCCTGTAGACTGAAGTCTGTTTGGCCTCCACTGGTCTTTCTTCTCCATTCCCTGCAGCAGGGGCTCGGGAGTTGGCAGAGCCCTTCAAGCTGAAGCCTTGCATCTCAGCTGAGCTGCAGACCTTGGATTCTGCTAAGGGGACTCCCTATGCTTGAGACTGCAGCCTCTGCCAGGGTTGAACAACCCAAAATCAACAGCTAGCCCAAAAGCCTGGGGCAACCACCACTTCCCAGCTGAGCCCAACAGGAGCCCGCAGATGGGAATCAGCTGTGTTTGGACACTGAGCAGGCAGGGGGCCTCTTGGAAATCACCTTTGATGAGTGTGTGAAGGGAGGAGCCAAGAACCACCTACACACCTGCTCCAGATGCACCTGGGGATGCCTAAGGCCTGGTAGTGCTCAGTTTAAAAGTCAGGCTCTGTCCGTACCCAAGAGCTCTGCAGAAGAGTAAGGATGCGGACCTCCAGGCCTCAGGCAACTTGCTAAAGGCAGGTTTCTAGAAGCCAGACAGACACCAAAGAAGCCCAGAAGTTCCACTGACTCTGTGTGACTGGAAGCAACCTCCTTTCTCTCTCTGATGTGGAAACGTGCCTATATTACTTCAATAAACACTTATTTCCCTGACCTCCTCGCCCTCTCCTAGATAGCTAATTTGCTGGTAGTAACTAGCATGGAGCCACAGCTTCCCTGGTCTGTGGATCCAGCATCATTCCACTGCTTTCTCTTCCCAGAATCACCCTGACATTGGCCTGCCCCATGGACTTGAAGAATTTCCCCATGGATGTCCAGACGTGCATTATGCAACTGGAAAGCTGTGAGTCCCTTGCATGAGGCCTCTATTAAAAAAAAAAAAAAATCAGATCTCCTTTAGCCATGGGACCAGCAGAAATCTCCACACACCTGCTCCTAACCCCTGGACCCCAGGAGATTACTGTGCTATATGATGTGTTTAGTTGCTCAGTCATGTCTAGCTCTTTGCAACCCCATGGACTGTAGCCCACCAGGCCCCTCTGTCCATGGAAATTCTCCAGGCAAGAATACAGGAGTGGGTTGCCATACTGTAACAGTCCAAAATAACAGATGAAGGGCTTTGCTCTTGGAAAGTGCATTAGAAATGTAACTTTCCTTACACTGTCTGACTCTGGAGCCAGCAGCATTCTTCAGAGGCACTATTCCATGCCCCCTGTGAACATGCTCACCAGGAATAAAGAAGTAATAGCTTAAATAAGTCAGAGTCCTTAAACTCCCAGAGTTGCTCACTCCAGCAGGGGAGAGAGGTGTCTGTCCACACAATTAATTCTAATGCAAAGTAGCAAGTGGTAAGTGTGTGGTTAGATGTGCAAAATGCTGTGGTCTCAAGGCAGAAAGGGCACTTCCTTCTGATTGGGAAGGAGACAGGATACAGAGAAGGCTTTATGGAGGAGATCACAGGTGAACCAAGATTTTAACCAACGGGGTAGCTCACTTACTTGATTGGAAACACAGAAACCAATCTGACGAATTTAAAGACTGGAATTAAGTGGAAGGGCATAGGGGTTCAAACTCCTCACAGATTTGAAGGAGAAGCTACAGTACAAGAACCAGGGAAGAGCATTTAGGCCACAGGAACTAACAGACCATTCCCTGGAGCACCACCTCCGAGGAGAGTCAGCACCAGCCAGCTCCCAATTTGCTGTCACTTGACTCAAGAGTCAAGGCTCTGGGGCAAAGAGTCTGATTGGCCTAAATGAGTCACCATCTCAGACCTTGTCCCCCAACTGATAGCCCCACCATGACAGCAATCCATACAGTTATTCCCAGGGGCTGGGGGGGACGTGCTTGCAAGGATGGTGCACAGGCAAAAAATAGCAGGGGTCAGCTGAACTTGACAACAGAACTGAGAGCTGGGATGCTAAGGTGGGATGCTGGGAGGAGCAAGAGAGGTAACAAGGTTGTGACGTAAACACAAGCAATTAAACCAGCTTTAACCTCCCATGGGAGGAGGCAGGTAGGAAATAAAGCAATATAGTCTCATGAGTTCCATTGAAGGTCTGATGCCTCTTCACCCCTAACCCTAAACACCCCTGACTTCAATAAGCTTCAAATAAGAGCTTCCAGGTGGTGACTTCTTCTTCTGATCCCATCCCAGTTGGATACACCATGAATGACCTCATCTTTGAGTGGCAGGAGCAGGGGGCTGTGCAGGTGGCAGACGGACTAACCCTACCCCAGTTTATCCTGAAAGAGGAGAAGGACTTGAGATACTGCACCAAGCATTATAACACAGGTAGGTACAAGGGGCCACCCTCCTCAGGTCCCACCCTACTGCAGCCAGGGCCAGAGGTCATCACAAACAGTCATGCCATCACTGTTTCAGTGGGTCTTGTGAGGTACCCATGGTGGGTCTAGTTCTGTATTTACTACCCAGGGGTTAAGGGAATGTCCCTTGAAGCCAAAAGTGGCTCCCACAGTTTCTTCTTGAAGTCCTGGGGCAAATAACTTGAGCTTGGACCACTGCTCACGATAAGGGCAACTTGGAGATACAGTCTTTCTTCCAGGTAGCAGTGTGCTCAGCTCAGGATAGAACCTAAGGCAGAAGGGAGAGCTGGCAGTGGGAGGACATCTAGCAGTGTCACAGAGGGGCTGGCATTTCTCAGAGGGCAAGAGCAGACGATGTTCCCACTAGATCTCGGGAAGGAGCTGCGAGCTGGTGCTGAGGACTAGTAAGCAGTGACGTTGGAAAGGGTCCCCTAGAGTGTGAGCTGAGAGGGGAGAAGCCCACTCTCTATCTCAGCTCTCTACCTTCCACACCTAGCCCAGGCTTTGCAGGAAGATTGAACACAGTAATGAACTGCGGCGCAACCAAGACTGGCTTTGCCTGCCCTGTTTCAGGCGGGGAAGGAGCTTATGGCACATTGCGGACAAAAGGCAGCCAGTCAATATGCCCACTGTGTGTGGGGGGCAGGGGGCCTGCTGTCTGAATGCAGCCCAGTGAAGTGGAGGCACATGATAGGCTGTGACAGGGGAAAAGGAGAGGAGGAGGAGAGGGCGAGGAGTTGAGGGAAACCACTGTGCGTTCTGATGCAAGTGGAAGGCCCAGAAAAAAAGCAGGCAGCCTGGGTTCTGCTCTGTTTAGGACAAGTATCCCTTTCCAGTGACCTCAGAGATAGATATCCTAGAAACTTCAAAAATACTCTCTTCTTTCCTGGGAACCTGAGACTCAGAGAGAGAGCAGGCCAGTCATCCCTCAGTCTCCAAAGGAATTTGGTTCCAGGCCCCCCAAATTACCAATATCCGGGGATGCTCAAGGCCATGGTCAGCCCTCCTCACTGGAGGACACAGGGCCTATGGGTCCGGAGAGCCAGTGAGTTCCCAGGTATCAAATAATCACAGCCAACTCTCATACACTGCAGCGCTTTTCTCATTCATTATCTCAGTGGCCCTTCATTACCCACATTTAAGTAAGAGCTGAGTTCCGGGTTAGTTCTGTGGATTCAGTGAGAAAAGACTGGCAAGGCCCTGACCACACGGAAGGTGCAGTTCAGGGAACTGTACAAAATTCCCCTGGCAACTGTATGTAAGTGGACTGGAGCCGAGACCCCACCAGGGGACGGCCCGGCCCAGTTCAAGGGACACACAGACTGGGAGATGAGCTGTCCACAGGCTGGTGCAGAGGACAGCGAAAGAAAGAGAGAGAGGTCGACTTGCCTTCTCAGTGTACTATGATTTAAAGGATCCAATGCTCACGTGAACAGAGCTGAAGGGACATGGGGAAAAAAGAGGCGCTCTGCCTGGGGGAGATGTCACCATTAAACTGCCATACAGAAGAGGCAGGATTCCTTGGCAGGTTGTGGGGTAGAAGAAGAGCATTCCAGGCAAAGGGATTACCAGGCTCAAAAACTCAGAAGTGTGAATGTTCAGAGGATGTTCAAGGCAAGGTCTAGAGTGTAGGGGTCATGGGTGAGGTGAAGAACGAAGGGAAATGGGGTGGAAACAGGCTGCGCTGTGAAGGGCAAGACTACAGAGGCTGAACTTCTCCCTGCAGGTATCAAATAATCACATGATGAGGCTGATGGAGAATGACATTCTGAGCACTTATGGTTTGTGAGGGCTGTGCTAAGGTCTTTACTCATTTTACCATCTCATTTACCATGGCAGTAAACATGAGTAGCCATGTGAGGTTGGTATTATTATTATTTATCATCATCATGATCATCCCCGATTTACCATAGATGAATAAACTGAGACACAGAAAGATTCAAACGCTCCCCCAAGGACACGGCTAGTGTGAGGCTGGACCAGGATCCCAGCTGAGGCTGTTCTGACCTCAGAGCCTTGTTCCTATCCACTAGGCCACTTTGCCTTCCCACTCTAATTTCCTGCAGGCAAATTCACCTGCATTGAAGCCCGGTTCCACCTGGAGCGACAGATGGGCTACTACCTGATCCAGATGTACATCCCCAGCCTGCTCATTGTCATCCTCTCATGGATTTCCTTCTGGATCAACATGGATGCTGCCCCTGCCCGTGTGGGCCTGGGCATCACCACTGTGCTCACCATGACCACCCAGAGCTCTGGCTCTCGAGCATCCCTGCCCAAGGTAAGTCCCACTGCCCAAGAGCACAGAACACCCGGACAGACCTGGAGGACACACATCTCCCTTCCCTGCCTGAGATCAGGCATGCACAAGGAATTAGGCACTATGTCTTGATCCTCTAAACTCAGCAGGATCTAGCATTCAGATCCACAGAAACCTTTCCTCCAGAACATTTCCTGTATAGAACATCATGTTCTATACAGTTGCCAGATAACCACATTTTGTTCCATTCTCCACCAACACTAGACACATATTCTGCTTCATCAGCTATTAACACTCAACTCCACTTCCTTCAGCCGCTTCACAGTAGTGCTAAAGACAACGTTCCACTCCTTTCACCATCAATGGCACTTTGTGTCTGGGGTCTTCAAGACCACAACATGTACAAAGATTCTTAGGACTCAGAGACTCAACAAATGGTTGAACTCACAGCTAAGATTCCTTAGAGTGATTAGGATACACATTATCCTTAATCCATAGATTAAGGATACACAGCTAGATGATAAGAGAAAAAGACACGGGCAGAGTCTAGAGGGATACATGTGCAAGCTTCCTCACTCTCTCCATCCCATGAGGGACCACACAGAGTTCACTCTCACCACAGCAACAAAAACACAGCTATATGTGTGACAAGTTTCTGCCCAGAGAGACAGAGAAATTGTTTTGAGATTCATTTAAGATTCAATATCAAAGGTTTTTATTAGGTGCTGGTCACACAAGTACCCTCTGCCTACCACATCCCCAAATTCCAGACTCCAAAGAGGAAAGCAGGTGCTCAGCTTAAACCACACTGTTTATACCAGTGGTCAAAACATGGTGGGGCACCCTTATCAGTTAGGGAAAGTGGGAATATGCCAAAAATCCAAGTTCTAGATGTCAACCAAGGGCCAACCTTGCCAGCAGTTCCTTCCTAAGATAGCAGTCCAGTGCCTGCTCTGTTGTACTCTTTTCTGCAGTACCTCAGTCTGATTCTGAAATTTCTTATTTTTTTTTTCATTTATTTTTATTAGTTGGAGGCTAATTACTTTACAATATTGTAGTGGGTTTTGTCATACATTGACATGAATCAGCCATGGATTTACATGTATTCCCCATCCCGATCCCCCCTCCCACCTTCCTCTCTACCCGATCCCTCTGGGTCTTCCCAGTGCACCAGGCCCAAGCACTTGTCTCATGCATCCAACCTGGGATGGTGATCTGTTTCACCATAGATAATATACATGTTTCATCGCAGCACTGTTTATAATAGCCAGGACATGGAAGCAACTTAGATGCCCATCAGCAGATGAATGGATAAAGAAGCTGTGGTACATATACACCATGGAATATTATTCAGCCATTAAAAAGAATTCATTTGAATCCGTTCTAATGAGATGGATGAAACTGGAGCCCATTATACAGAGTGAAGTAAGCCAGAAAGATAAAGACCAATACAGTATACTAATGCGTATATATGGAATTTAGAAAGATGGTAATGATAACCCTATATGCAAAACAGAAAAAGAGACACAGATGTACAGAACAGACCTTTGGACTCTATGAGAGAAGGCGAGGGTGGGATGTTTTGATTCTGAAATTTCTAATGTTAAACACCACCTTCTGTTCAGTCAGTTCAGTTCAGTTCAGTCGCTCAGTCATGTCTGACTCTTTGCGACCCCATGAATTGCAGCACGCCAGGCCTCCCTGTCCATTACAAACTCCCAGAGTTTACTCACACCCATGTCCATAGAGTCGGTGATGCCATCCAACCATCTCATCCTCTGTCGCCCCTTCTCCTCCTGCCCCCATTCCCTTCCAGCATCAGGGTCTTTTCCAATGAGTCAACTCTTCTCATGAGATGGCCAAAGTATTGGAGTTTCAGCTTCAGCATCAGTCCGTCCAATGAACACCCAGGACTGATCTCCTTTAGAATGGACTGGTTGGATCTCCTTGCAGTCCAAGGGACTCTCAAGAGTCTTCTCCAATGCCACAGTTCAAAAGCATCAATTTTTCGGCGCTCAGCTTTCTTCACAGTCCTTACATTCACTATTAACTCTTGAAGCATGTTCTGCTCTGTTCACTATTAACACTCAGCACCTTTCACTCCACACACTGCTAATGCCAGATACACATTCTGCTCCATGCACTCTGTGCTAGACCCAGCATTCTGTTCCATTCTTCTCACACCAGACACGGCAATCCACTGCATTCATACCAACACCAGATGCTTATCCTCCAGTCAACTTGACAATGAATGCAACACTATTCCTTTCACTGTTAACACTAGACCTCACATTCTGTTTAATTCACATTTAACACTAGATGGAATGTTCCACTTCATTTCCTATTAATGCCAGACGCCACAAGCTCCTCTACTCACCCACACTTGAGGTAACAACACTCGGCTCCATTCACTATGAGCACTCGATGCCTCAATCTGCTTTACTCTCCTGTATCGAGTGCTAGGTGCTGTTTTCCACTATGTTCACTACAGTCATTGGAGCCACTTTCCACATTCCTCAACACCAGACCTAACATGTGTGTGTTAAGTCGCTCAGTTGTGTCCAACTCTTTGTGACCCCATGGATTGTAGCTTTCCAGGCTTCTCTGTCCATAGGATTCTCCAGGGAAGGATACAGGAGTGGATTGCGTTCCCTTTTCCAGAGGATCTTCCTGAACCAGGGATCAAACTCTGGTCTCCTGCATTGAAGGCAGATTCTTTACCATTTGAGCTATAGGGAAGACCCAACATGGTGCTCTGCTATTATTGCCAGACACCAACCATACCCTGCCCCCTTCAGAATGTTGCTAAATGCAACATTCTGCACCATGTGCAATGAAAAGGGCGCTTCACTTTCTGTTCTGATGCAGAAAAGTTGGAAGAATAAGCAACAAATACCTAGTAGCCTTCACCTCAATTCCAGTTATCATTTTCCACATTGTCTTTATCTTTCTCTCTAGGTAAGCAGGTAGACAGATGCAATTTTTACTGAATCATTTGAAGGTTACAGACAGCATGACAATTCACCTCTAAATAAGGACTAAGGATCACTTGATATTATCACATCTAAAAAATTAACACTAATATAACAATATCACTGAATTAGAAATAATTCCATAATTTCATCTATAAAGAATCTTTAAATTTTCCCAATAGTCCAAAAACTGTCATTAGTAGACATGGTGAGGGACCCAATCAAAGATCCAATAAAGATCCACATTGCATATAGTTTACTCTTTTAATCTAGAAGAGTCTCCCCACTGTTTTTTTTGTTTTTTTGTTTTTCATGACACTGACTATTCCATTAACTTTTAATGTGAGCCATGACATTCTACTCCAATTGTCATCTATGCTAGACACCACTCTCTCCTCTACATCCTCACAAGAAAACTCAAACAATCTGCCCTTTGTATCGTTAATGCTAGACTTTGCATTCTGCTACATTTACTATAAAAGCTTGAAACAAACCTTCTGTTTACTGTTACCAGCTGACAGCACATTCTGCTCTGTTCATTTGCAACAGCAGGAGGAATATCCTGCTTCCTGTTCCTTATGTTAGGCTCAACATGCTGCTCCTCTCTCTATGAATAGTCTACCCCACAGTCCCCTTCATTTATAACTGACTCTAGACTCAACATTCTGTTCCATTCATTGTTTCACTAGCCTTGAGAGTGGGCTCCGTTTGCTAATAACACTCAACCTGATATTATTGCCTCTTTCAAAGCATAAAATTCAGTGGCATTTAGTATATTTACAAAGTTGTACACCCTCTCAGCAGTGTCTAGTTCCAGAACATTTTCATCACCCCACAGAGAACCCCCCATATTCATCAAGAGTCACTCCTTGTTCTCCCCTCCTACCAGCCTCTGGCAACCACTCATCTACTTTCCACCTCTATGCATTTGCCTATCCTAGATGTTTCACCTAAGAGGAATCACACAGTATGTGTGCTTTTATGACTGGCTTCTTTCATTTAGCATAATATTTTCAAGGTTTACATATGTTATAGAATGTATCACTACTTCATTTCTTTTTATGGCTGTGTAATATTCTGTTGCATGTATAGATCAAAATTCGTTTATTTATCAGTTGATGGACATCTGGGTTATTTCCATGTTTACCTGTTTTTAAATAATGCTGCTGTGAACAAGCATTTCCTATGTATAAGTTTTTGTGCAGACATATATTTTCAACTCTTAAAGATATATTATTATGTGGTACATTATAGTCATTATATTAATATATACTATATATTATATATAAGTTATAGGTATATTATATAGTCAACTTTTTGAGGAATGCCGAATTATTTTCCAAAGTGGCTATACCACTTTATAATACTGCCAAGGTTCCATTTTCTCCACATCCTCATTAATGTTTGTTATTCTATCTCTTTGATTATAAATATCTCAGTAGATGTGAAGTGCTATCTTATCATAGTTTTGAGTTTTCCTAATAACTAATAATGTTTAGCATCTTTTCATGTGCTTATTCACCATTTTTATATCTTCTATGGAGAATCTATTCAAATCTTTTACCCATCTTCTAATTGGGGCATTTCTCTTTTTATTGTTGTAATAGTTCTTTGTGTATTATGGATTTTAAACTCTTAAGAACATGATTTGCATATATTTTCTCCCATTCAGGTTTTCAACATTGATTGAAAATGTTCCTTATGTTTCCTCAAAAGTTTGTAACTTTGAGGAAATTAATTTAAATTTTCTATTGTTGTTTGTACTTTTGGTATCATACTTAAGAAATTAGTGCCTAATCCAAGATCATAAAGATTTACACGTACATTTTTTCTAAGAATTTCATGCACTGTGCTTAGTCGCTCAGTCTTGTCCAACTCTTTGCAACTCCATGGACTGTAGCCTGCCAGGAAGCTCCTCTCTCTGTCCATGGAATTCTCCAGACAAGAATACTGGAGTGGGATGCCATGCCCTCCTCCAGGGGTCTTCCCAACCCAGGGATCGCACACAGGTCTCCCACATTGCAGGCAGATTCTTTACCATCTGAGAGTTACATAGCTTAGCTCTAAATATAGTGTTTCAATCTATTTTGTTTATTTTTGCATATGAAATGAGGGAGGGATATCATTCTTTTGTATGTGGATATCCAGTTATCCCAGCACTGTTTGTTAAAAATATTATTCTTTCCATCCATTGAATTTATATCCTTCTCAAAAGACAATTGGCCATAGGCTTTGACTAAGTAAACCCAAAAATAGGGGTTTACTTCTGGACTTTCAATTCTATCCCATTGATATATACACACACACAAATTTATCTTTATGTCAGCATCATACTCTTGAGTATCATGTTTAGAAGTTTAGAAGTTGAGAAGTGTGAGTCCCCCACCTTTGTTCTTTTTAAAGATGGTTTTGCCCATTCTGGGTCCTTAGCATTTCCATATGAACATGAATATAAAATTTTAAGATCAGCTTGTCAATTTCTGCAGCGACAATAAAAACAAATTTTAGTTTTAAATGCATTGAGTCTGTATAGGAACTTGGGGAGTATTGACATCTTAACAATATTAGGTCTTCCAATCCATGAACACAGGACATCTTCCCATTTATTTAGATCATCTTTAATTTCATCCCAGTTTTCTAGACCCCATGGTTTCTAACAAGAAATCAGCTGTTAATCTTATTGAGTATACCTTGTATATGATGAATTATTTCTCTTTCTGCTCTTAAGATTTTTTTTCTTTGGCTTCAGACAGTTTGACTATGGTGTGTCTAGGTGTGGATCTCTTTGAGTTTATCTCGCTTGGGGTACATTTAGCTTCTTTGATGTGTACATTAGTGTTTTTAATCAAATTTGGGGAAATATTGGCCATTATTTGTTCAGAAATTCTTTCTGCCTTTTTCTCTCTCTCTCTCCTTCAGAAATACCCATCAAACTCAGGTTAGTGCCCTTCATGATTCCCCACATGTTTCTGAGGCTCTGTTCATTGTTCTTCATTCTGTTCCTCAGACAGGATAACCTCAAGTTCACTGATTCTTTCTTCTGTCCACTCTGATATGCTCTTAATTCTCTCCAGTGGAAGTTTCAGTTCATTTATTTTACTTTTTAACTCTAGAATTTCTATTTGGTTCTTTTTTGTAGCTTCTCATGCTCTACTTAGTGAGATTTCGTTCCCATACTTTTCTTTAGCTGGGTAGCCAAGGTTCTTTTGGTTCTTTGAACATATTAAAAATATAACTGATTTAAAGTCTTTGTGTATTAAGTCCAATATCTGGGCACAACTTTTTTTGACCACGTTTCCTCCTTTGTATAGGCCTGACTTAATCAATCCAGGCTTCTATAACAAAGTACCATAAACTGGGTGGCTTACAAACAACATAAGTTTGTCTCACAGTTCTGGAGGCTGGAAATCTGAGACCAGGGTGCCAGGGTAGTCTGGTTCTGGTGAGGATCCTCTTCCAGTAACAAACTGCTGACTTACTGTTGTATCCTCACATGGCAGAAAGAGAGTAAGCTAGCTCTCTGGACTCTCTATAAAGGCACTATTCGCATTCATGAAGGCTCCACTGTCATGAGCTAATTACTTACCAGTGATCTCATCTCCAAATACCATCATATTGGGATTAGATTTCAACATATGACTTTTGGGAGGACATAAACATTCAGTACATTGCATTCGCCATACTTTCTTATTTCTTGATATGTCTTAAATCTTCTTGATAAAAATTATACATTTACATAATATAATGTGGCATATCACTGAGCCAAGCGGTTTAAAACTTTGCTGTAGCCTTTACTTTCTGCTTATTCAGAGTTGACAGCTAAGAGCCTTCTCAAGTCACCCTGGACACGCACATAGGCCTAAAAATGCACATTGGTTTCCAGGAATATATCATAGTTTTACGGACAGCTCATTCCCCAAATTTTCCTTTTATTCTTTTCGATCAACCAATTGTTTGCCTCAAATGTTACCAACTGCCTGAGGCTGATGTAATGTTCAACACTTGCCAGTGATTGTTTTCAACAAATGCCCTCAAGGAAAAAGCTGCTCACATTGGGACAGCTCCAAGTCAGGTCAAATAAAGACAGCCTTGTGAGTGGTCTCTTTCAGAGAACCATAAAACAGGTCAAATAACAATTTCCTGAGAACATAGCTTTAAAGAAGCTCCTACTCTCTTCTGCCCCATCCAGGGGCTGTCAGCATACTGGTGTTCACTGTGTCTGCAGGCTGTTGCTTTACAAGACTAGCACAGAGCCACACATGAGAAGATGGGAATAGGGCAACTTAAAACATCACAAAGGAAATAAAAACATACATCCACAGAAAAACTTAAGTTCATAGCAGCATTATTCCTAATAAGAGCCAAAAGGTAGAAGCAATCCAGATGTCCTTCACTGATGGATGGATCAATGATATGTGTTATATCTATACAGAGTACTATTATTTGGCCATAAAAAAGTACAGATGTACAGAACAGACTTTGGGACTCTGGGAGAAGGCGAGGGTACAATGTTCTGAGAGAACAGAATTGAAACAAGTATACTATCAAGGGTGAAACAGATCACCATCCCAGGTTGGATGCATGAGACAAGTGTTTAGGGCTGGTGCACTGGGAAGACCCAGAGGGATGGGATGGAGAGGGAGGCGGGAGGGGGGATCAGGATGGGGAACACATGTAAATCCATGGCTGATTCATGTCAATGTATGGCAAAAACCACTACAATATTGTAAAGTAATTAGCCTCCAACTAATAAAAATAAATGAAAAAAAAACTAAAATAAAATAAAAATAAAAAAGTAAAATACTGACATATACTATGATACAGATGAATATTGAAAACATTATGCTAAGTGAAAGGCCACACATTGTATGATTCCATTCACATAAAATGTCCATGATTGGAGGAAGAGAATTTGGGAAATAAGGAAATGATAGATAAAATGTAGTAGGTTTCTTTTTGAGGTGATGAAAATATTCTAAAATTGACTATGATGATGATTATATATAATTGTGAAGATATAAAATCATTGATTTCTATACTTTAAATGTGTATGATACATGAATTATATCTCAATAAAGCTGGGTTATTTTTAATGCCATGAAGCCTGCTATTCTTACTGGGATTCAACTGATTTTCCCAAATAAATGTTTACAGGATTGCTGTTAGACTTTGATTCATTAACAGAGTTTGGAGAAAAGTTGGTTCTGACCATTTTTTTATAGAGTCCTGACTGCTTTTTTGTCGGGGGAGAGTTTTTGAAGATCTCGCTCTGCCATTCTCACTGACATCCTCCACTTCCTTTTACCATTAGGTAAAAATTCTCCTATCACCTTCAGTCTGAACACCACATTCTATTCCATCAGTGACAGAATGATGGACACACCATCCCCCTTCTCTTTAGGGCTCTTCTAGGCACCATGTTCTTTTTTTCTCAATATTCTGTCCAGTCTTCTTGATGAATTTCTCATCTGTTTCCTTCTGTACCCTTCATCCTAATATTCCAGCTGAGAGGAAACAACAGAAGATGATGGGGAAGGGGGTTTCTAAGGAGCAGAAAACATTCCTCCATACTCAATATTTCTTTCTGTTCTCTCCTCATCTTCCTGTGTTCTTCCCCCCACCTCCACCCCAGGTATCGTACGTGAAAGCCATCGACATTTGGATGGCCGTGTGCCTGCTCTTCGTGTTCTCAGCCCTGCTTGAGTACGCTGCCGTCAACTTTGTGTCTCGGCAGCACAAAGAGCTGCTCCGATTCAGGAGGAAGCGAAGACATCACAAGGTAGGCCTTTGGCTCAGCGCTGGTGGTTAACAGAAGAGTTCCGTGCAAGCTTGTCTTATGATACTTGTTTTGCTGTACCATTCTCAGTGGATAAAGCATGCACAAAATACAGATCAAAGTCCTACAAGTCCTAGTTTCTCCTCCCATAAATAAAGCCCTGATTGGGTTTATGGGCACTCATTCTTCTAACACTAGTAACACTAATTATCAGGTTACACTTGAAGACAGAATTGATGGAGCAAACACTGATGGGGCCAAGATAGGAACTAGCTATAAACCCAAAGCATGGAAGGCTGAGGGATGTTTGCTGGTGTTTTCTAAAACAGTGGGCCGCATTGTTTCAATGGGCCTGATTCCAGAAGCGATTGGTATCACAGAACATGAGATCTTAGAGTAGAATGTTGTTTCCGGGCCTTTGTTTCCTACCTTCAAGAAGAGGCAAGCTGCAAGGTCTTCCCCTGGAGTGAATTCTCTTCCCTTATGAGAGACAGAATAAAGAAATACTTTGAAATTAAATATTAAAGTAGGCATTTAAAATATGCAAATAATACAAAGTTTATCTTGTCATTGCTGCTGCTGCTGCTGCTGCTAAGTTGCTTCAGTCGTGTCCGACTCTGTGCGACCCCATTGACAGCAGCCCACCCGGCTCCTCTGTCCCTGGGATTCTCCAGGCAAGAACACTGGAGTGGGTTGCCATTTCCTTCTCCGTATCTTGTCATTAGGGTTATGAAAATAAAATAGTACATTACTATATACTTGAAAAGTTTGAGTCCTAATGAAGAAAGGCAGTTAAAAAAAAAAAGAAATACTTGGCAGGGACTTCCTTGCCAGTCCAGTGGCTAAGACTCCATACTTCTACTGCAGGGGGCCAGGGTTCAACACCCAGTCAGGGAACTAAGATCCCATACGCTTAAGATTCCACAAGCTGTGTGGTGCAGTAAAAAACAAAACAAAACAAAACAAACCTGGCAGACCGCCTCTGAAAAGTCACCAACCTCTGTTAACTCTGTGGGAGCAAAGTGGCTCCATACCCAAGTCTGTAACCACTTCCCCAGGAGAACTTTCTCCTAGGAGTCAGAGGACTTGCTTTTCTCCCCAGTCTCATCTTCATGTCACTTTTTCCCTTGCTCTCTGAGCCCCACCCACACTGGCTTTTTTCATAGTTCCTCAAACACACACACAGGACTTCAGGTGTCTTGTTCTGTCCACCCAGGTTGCTCTTCCAGTGGACTGGTGGCTCTTCCAGCGCACTTTGCTTGATACGAACCTGCTCAGTTTCCAGTTCTCAGCTGTGGCATCTTTCCCTGATACCCTAGTCAAGGTGCAGGCCCTGTATTGAGGTGCTGATGCCAGGCTGTTAAGCGAGATCCAGCAGGTTGTATCCAAGGGCCCCAGCCAAGGAAGCACTCTTCTCTTAGATCCTGCCCTGGCGTGGACTGTATCAGCCAGAGAAAGTGATCCCAATTCAGACACCCAGGGCAGGCGGTGCCACTCGTCTGACATGCACAAATACACTTTATGTCAGCCAAGACGATACTCAGTTTCTTTCCTTCTAGACACAAGTCATAATTACACATTCAATCAGGAGTTTGTTCCATGCACACCATCCACTGAATGGTAAGTTCCGTCAGGTCAGGGGCCATTTCTACTCTTGCTCAGTACTACTGATACAGCCCTGGTGTTTACCACAAGGCCTGATAGATAGTCAATGTGGAATAGGAATTTGCTTAACAAATGGACAAAGGGATAATAAAAAAAAAACTAATGGAATAAAAAAAAGGAGACCCTGCAGTCTGAGAGGCTGCCTGGGAGCTTTTCCAGCTATAGATGAGGGCAACCAAGATCTCAAACACTGGCCACACCACACACCCAGGCCCTACCTGCTTTAGACTGACCTACTGAAAGCGGCTGTCTACCCAGCTACAAGTGCTGGGACAAAGGACTCTGCCCTTTGAATTCTCTTTGCTATGTGATTTTCAGCTAGCCTCTTCTAGGGACCAGCATCTGCATCTGTAAAATGGGCACAATGGTGGACTGGTGAAAGATGAAATCAGATCCCAACATAGCTTTAAGTTATGCTCCTGCCACACAAGTACCAGGAATTAAAATGATCCAAAAGGCACACATTTCCCTCAGTATGTTTATTAAACATCAGCAATCTGATTCGATTAACTTCTAGCAGTTTACCGCAGGCCGCAGGCAGACGTTCCGAGACAGAGGCTGTCCATGGGAGTTAGGATAAAAGCTGTACTGGAAGAGGGAAGCAAGCATTGTGGATACAGCCAGCCAGACAGGACTTTGAAAGATCCTGGTTTTAGTCTTTCCATTACTGTCCATCAGATACCTAGCCTTTGATTCTTATCAAAATCTAAGCAAGAAACTGACCAAACACAGCTATCTCTGGGATTTACTTCTATTTTCCCTTTTCCCCAACCAGGGGCGAGCAGCTTTCTGCATTTCCCTCTGCAAAAAGAATGTCAATAATTTATCACAGAGATACTTATGTGGGAAGACTATGTCCAAAATACTTGACTGGTACCAGGTCACTAGACTGTGCCCTGCATAGCTCCAGCAGGCATTATGTGCATGGACTAAAATGTGAATGCAGCCCCTTGCAGATATGTAACATTGTGGGACCTACAGTATTTGCAAAGGCTGCCTCTACCCTTGCCAAATGCCTACCAGTATTACGTATTAGAGAAAACAAAAACTTTGTCTCTAGCCAGGTAAAATGAATAAGGCCACTGTGCAGATTTGATCAGATTCCTCTGCTGGGTCCCTTCCTCATTCTCTCACAGCATGTTGGTGCTGGAAGAGCTCTCAGAGAGGGCCCCATCCACTCGTCCTGTGCAGATGATGACAAAGAGGAGGGGAAAGTGACCAGGATCTCGGAGGCACTGATGGGAAAGACACAGAGGCCACCTAAGACCTATGGCTGATCTCAAAAAACACTGACCACACACCACCAGCCGCTTATGTTCATCAGTGTCTCCATCCTGAAGCAGATAAAAATAGTCCTGCGTTTATTAGATCTTAAATAGGAACTAAGATTTACCCCAAGGCAGAGTTCAAAAACTAGTAGCTAGGTCAGATTCACCATGCAAATATCTTTAAGTTCACCAGCAGTATCTTAAAAATCTGGAATGAAGTGCCAGCATTTCAAATCACACTTCCAGCTTCACTCAAAACATCACAGCCTCTGGTCCTTCTGGATTCACATCCCATATGGTACAGGCTCACTGCAAATACCTTTAGGTGAGGAACGCAGTCCACGGCCCCAGTTCCCTTCATCACTGTCTCTCCTGCCTGGCCCCTGGTTTGCATCTGAATAGTGTGACTTTGTGCGTACAGGCTCTGAACTTGGCACAGATGTCAGAAACAAGACGCAGAATCGGGCTCACCATAAAAAACAGCTTCCTTTGGAGCAAGGCCCTGTGGATGTGGCTTGTAGGCTGGCCGTATATTAGCTTGGGCTGCAGAAACCTCCCTTTAGCAGAAAGCTTGCAGAGGGGGTTTTATGCCCCAGATGGTGAATGAAGAGGAACTAGCCACATGCCTGAGTTTCTCTGAGTCCATGATCTTGGCCGGGCTCCTCGACTCCCACCACCCTCCCATGTTACCTCATTTACTGGGCAGAAACCATCTGGTCCTCGAATTCCCCAGCCAGCCTCATTAGTCAGATTATTAGGAAATCTCTGTGAGCCCGACTGGGCAGGCACACTACCAACCTCCCTGGCTTCGGTCGGATTTCCCCTGTTCCAGTCCCGCGCAGCTCCAGATGCAGTTGGGCTTTTGTTGCCTGCCATCTGCTGGCTTGAATAGGAATAGCAGTCTTTGTCCAGTTATTTCTAGGGAATTTCCTTTCTCCTGGATACAATGTAAAATGGATCACCTTCTAACCAGATGAAGCCTCCACACATCCATCCCCTCCCCTCTCATGTTTAACTGATGAAGAAGGCAGAAAATAATTTGCCCAAAGCAAAACAGAAAGTTAATTTTGAGTCTCCGCCTGAATAACTAGAGCCCAGCGAAAAAACATTTTCAAGCACACCCTCCTCCCACCCGCCCCACTGTATTGCTACAGTGAGCAGATGTATATTGATAGACGAGATTGTCAAACCCAGCCCTGCTCCCAGGCACAGGGTCCAGTCACTTGGCCAGCTTCCCCCAGTCCTCTCCTCGGTGCTGGCACAAACCCTCTACTGTTGCCCTCCCCACAGAAAAATACTGGTTGAGACCCATCTGCCAGGTACTGGAGCCCACCTGCTTACCCTCACTCCTGCAATGAGGGTGTTGGACCAGATTCACTCATTTTCGTGAAAGATGTCTTGAGCATTCATATGTCAAATCCTCCAGGTGCTAGGAATGCAACGCCATTTGCTTTTTTTTTATTTAAGAAAACAAGATGTTTATTTATTGTATTTATCTGGAAAATAATACACTAAAGATAAACTTATCAAAAACAAGTCTTATGAACAGGCATTTTAAATGTTTAATATTGGACTAACACAATAATAAAACACCTGTGAAATTTTGAACATTGTTGTTGTTCTGGATACAAAAGGTCTAATTTAGTTTAAATAAGATCTGAAACACCTTTATGAAACTTATTTTGCTCAATGGGTATGATATTAAAGTTGTGTATATATGGAAGTGAAGTGAAAGCTACTCAGCTGCTCTTTTTGACCCCACGAACTATAGCCCACCCGGCTCCTATATCCATGGGATTTCCCAAGCAAGAATAGAATACTGGAGTGGGTTGCTGTTTCCTTCTCCTACACCATTTTAATTTAAATTAATTTTTAAAAAAAGGAAGCTGGGGCAGACTGGATAGGCAAGTAAACCATCTGGTCAACAAACATTTGCAGAGTTTTGAGCTCCTTCTCAGGAAATATATTCCTATGTCTAGTGTTGAGGGTGCAGTGAACATGATACACTTGGCCTTCGCCTTCATAGAGCTTACACTTTAATGAGAGAGACAGACATCAGTCAAGGAAAACAATGTGATAAGAGATTTGAAATAAAAAAGGAAAAACAGGAAATCCTGATGTATGGATCACACATCAGGGACATTGAGCCTAACCTCAGGCTCAGGGAAGGTGCCTGAGTAGGAATTAGTTCGGGGAAAGAAGGGGCTGGAAGCAGGGGACGGGTTGGGAGAGACAGACTCAGCAGAGAGAACAACCTGCACAGAGTGCAAGAGGAGTGTGGCACTTCCCCATAGATGGGAACACCACAGGGCAGCGGGAGCACGGAAAGTCAAGCGGAGCAGACACAGATGGGCCAACCAGGTCACCCAAGGCCTTGTCACCACGTAAAGCTTTTAAGTATCCTCAAGTCAGTGGCAGCCTATTAAGAGAGCTCTAAGCAAAGGATGATGGATAAGATCCATGTCATACAACCCAGAGGGGTGGCAGGGTTGGCGGAGATGGGAGGCCGAAGGGAAACGAGGCTGGAGGTCACCACAAGCCCAGATGAAGGCCCAGGCTGGGGTGGCACAGGCAGAGCTGGACACACACCAGGGACCCAGACTGCCCTGCACAGGAACAAGAAGACAGAGCAGCTGCCCACAAAACGCTCAGTCTCAAGTCTGCAGAGGGAGCCGATAAAGCCCCCCAGAGCCACACACTGAGTCAGCGACCACCTCAGAGCTCACGACGAAGGACCACAAGGCCAGATGTGGTGAGAGCAGGCAAGAGAGTCTCCTCGATCCAACTGAGGAGAGGGGGAAGTGAAGCGGGTCAGGCAGCAGGCACTTGGGTAGTGAGCACGCAGCCAGGAGGTGGGGACACAGGAGGGATGGCAGAGAACGTGCAACAGGCAGGTGGGCGGAGCACAGGTAAGGGAGGCAGGGAGCCTGGAAAGGTAAGTTGGACCCAAATGATGAAGGGCTTGGAAAACTCCAGAAGAAAATCTTTATAAAAGTCCAGAGCCTGAGGTCACACCTGCCAGGGATACGGGAACACGGAGGTGAGAGACAGCTGTGGTCCCCGGGCTTGCAGCCGTTGCTTGCTCCTGGTCCATTTACTCCCTCCCCAAACCCACACACAGAAGCCTGGGGGATGGGGTGGGGGAGAGGGCAAGGAGACAACAGAGGCAAACCAGGGGATCTTTCCAAATTGTCCTCTGGGTTTCTAACAAAATGGCATTCAGAGCATCTGCTCAGCTACAACTTCTGATGATCGAAAAGCATCTTAAAGGAGTGGAGTGAATCTTATCCCCACTTAAAGGAAAAATCGAAATTAAAAACCCTGAGAGTCACAGGAGGATGTCTTCTGAGGAAGTGACCTGCCCAAGGTCATACAGCCACAGGTGACTGAACCATGGTCATCACGCTGGTCTGACTCCACACCACACACCTATCCCCTGGTTTGCATCTGTTTCGGCACTTGATGGCGCCCCTCTATAAGGCATAACTCCCCAGCCAGCCACAGAGCCTTCAGGGGCCTAGAGTGGTGCCGTCTGGGAGGCAGGGCGAGCCAGATGGGCACGGCCTGGCCCCCAGGGGAGTGCCTGCAGGGAGGGTGCCCAGCCCCTGTCTTATTTTAAGTAGAGCCCCATGTTGAATCTGTTCCAGGAGGATGAGGCTGGAGAGGGCCGCTTCAACTTCTCAGCCTACGGCATGGGCCCGGCCTGCCTTCAGGCCAAGGATGGCATCTCCGTCAAGGGCGCCAACAACAGCAACACGACCAACCCCCCTCCGGCACCATCCAAGTCCCCGGAGGAGATGCGAAAACTCTTCATCCAGCGGGCCAAGAAGATCGACAAGATCTCCCGCATCGGCTTCCCCATGGCCTTCCTCATCTTCAACATGTTCTACTGGATCATCTACAAGATCGTCCGCAGGGAGGACGTCCACAACCAGTGACGGGTCTGGGCCGGGGGTCGCTGGGAGTGGGCAGAGTGGGAAGGGCACAGGAATCTGACGGCCGGAGGAGGGGAAGCGAGGTGGGGGCGCACACGCAGTGTGTGCCGTCTCTCAAGTGAGGCGATGCGTGGCTCAGAATGTGGCACTATCGGTTCAACCCCGGGTGGGGGTGGGAGGGGGAGGGAGGGGTTTTTCTAATATGGGAACTGAGGGGCGGGGAGGAAGCGGAGGGTTCGGGGTGGGGGCAGAGGAGGGGAGTGGCGAAAACCACTTTCAAAAATTTGAGTCCATGGGCTGTGCAGTTTTCCTGTTTGGAAGGAGAATACAGTCTGCCCCAGAGCAGCGGCGAAGCCATGTAATATATATGATATATATTCATGCTTAATATTAATGCAAAACCACAAGAACAAAAGACTTGTTTCTTAACCTATCAGCCTAGTAACTGCTTAAATTTTTAAAAGTCACAGAAGTGATGGACACTTTTTCGCAGAGTGGAAAACAGTCACAAATCAGCTTGCTCCGGTGTGTCCCACATCACACCCCTCCCAACGCCATGCCTGTCTTCAAACTGGCCCAGGTGGACTCATGCCGAAAAGCCATTCCGCCTCTGCTTCAAGGGGGTCCGTGCGGCGGCCCAGGCAAGGGTGGTGGAAATGGGGGAAGGTGGAGAGGAGAAGGGGAGTGACTAAAGAGATGGGACGATTCAGAGGCCCGAGGATGGAGAGTCATCTTCACGCCTCCAGGCTGGGGCCCTCTCTCTCAGTTGCCCCTCTCTCAGCACTCTCGTTTCTGTGCGTCACCCGCCCCACTTACCCTCCACCACCCAGAAATGGCCCCCATGGTTTTTCTCATCATGTTGCTAATATGCAGTCTTTTTTATGGTTTAAAAAAAAAGTAATAATCAAGAAATAATATGCAGATAGACTGAGTGTAAACAGATGCACTTTTTCAGATGTCTATTTTTTTGGAGAGTGTCTTTGGAATTGCAAGCAGGGGTAGGTTTGGGAAGGTGGGGTTACAGGATGAAACAGATGTATTATATTGTGGCTCTACGGAGTGGAGTTTTACGAGGTAAAAGGGCAGTAGTAAGGCTGCTGCCGCTTAGATACATGGATACGGGTGGAAAGAAACAGTGATGTTTATAAAGTCTGTCCATTATATTCTGACATTTCATATGCCACAAAGAACATGGGGAGCTTGGCGGGGGTGAAGATCCCATTATATTTTTGTAAGTCTTTTTTTGGTTCCCTTTTTGGTGCTTCGTTTAGCTTTAACATTTAGGAAAGTTAGACAAATTCTCTTTCCTGCTAACTCTGAAGTGCCAGAACTATCCCAAGATAGCTAGGGTACTCCGGGGGAAAGGAAGAGGGTCTAGGCAGTGGACCACAGGGAGTGGGGAAGCCTGCTCCTGGACACAGATGTTGACAGGTAGGAGGTCTGCAAGGTGGGCCGTGGGATTAGAAGGGATCTGCGTCTGGCAGCTGTCACACCACTGCACCGGGGACGACGGCACTATTATTTGTAGCATCCTCCCTGCTATGGCCTATAACCAGAATACTGGGATTACATTTCTTTCTTTGCACTTTTGTGGATCAGAGTGGTAGGCAGCTGACAATCAGTCTGTGTTCACTTGTGTCTTTGGAGCATCCCTAACTTAGGGCAGGACAGAAGTGAGACACTGGGAACCTAACCCCACCCTAAAGCACCTTCCCCAGGGGAAATGTCTCCCATGGTGCAATAGCTAATTCCCACAGAGGCCCAAAGAAGTGGGTCAAGACAAGGACCCAGAAGTGATTCAGGTCAAGAAAATGCACTATGCAGCCAAAAAAGGATTTGGCTCTGTGGCTTTAACAAAAAAGTTGTTTGCAACCAAGTTCTAAGGTCAATACATCATTGCCTTCCTTTCTCTTGGCCTGTATAGAGCAGAAAACGAAGCTGTATTCTAGCCTTGGAGGGTGTGGGATGGATCCTGGAATCCTTTTTTCTAAGAAGCACTAAGGGATGGGAGCCAAGTGAGTAGGAGTCTCTCATGTAAGACCACTCATTTCCCCACCACTAACAGGTGTCTGAAGGAGGAAAAGTTAAATAGAGGGATGTGAACAATTACTACCAATTCAAGACTAGAATATCAGACTTTGGACTGCTCTTAGAACCTTTCATGAGCACTACATTCACTTTATTTAAGGGAGGAGGTGGGGAAAAACTTAATTCCCAAGTGGTACATGGGTCTCTGGAGAGGCTATCAGCCCCTTTCACTAGCACTTTATTCACTTTATTTAAGGGGAAATCATTTTTAAATTTAAAAAAAATAAAGAACCCCTTCTCTCTAATTTACTCATTATTAGACTAAATTCAACATGTCTGAAGTCTAGGTAAATCAGGCAACAAAGGCACTATGCCACTATCAGCAATGAAGGCAATACCAATTATTCTAAGACATTCTGTTTCTGCTCAAACAGCAAAATCACACTGGTCTCCTTACATGATGAGGTGTCCAGAATCTCTTTGAGACATAGAAATCACTGGGCCATCTGCCCAACCTCTGCTGGATCCTTGAACTTCTGACACAATAGTGAATTTGTGTGCCCACTGGGTGCTGCCAGGTCTAGCTGACAGTATCCACCAGACAACAGAATGATTTCAAACACAGAGACACAATTTTTTCTCAGGCCATTCTAAACATGGTATCCCTCACAGAAAATAAATGTAAGGTGATGCATGATAGCAATGAAAAGAAGAATGCAAATTTTAGTCTTGCCACTAATATGCTTGGGTGACCTTGGGTAAATCACTAAGATTTGGTTTCTTTAACTACAATGGAGAGAGTGTCACAGGTGATTTCTAGCACTGACTGTTCTATGGGTTTGAACTGGTTTGTAGGAATTTCACGCATCAGAAAGTTTAATATCATTTTGATTTCTGAACTCTCCAGGTGGCCATGAGCATACATATGCACACGTATATAGACACACAATTCTTGTTGCCTTTCTTCTTTGGACAACTGGCAGATTTGTTTTTTCCTTTTGCTCTACTTTATCAAAGGTAAACAGTGGTGACGGAAAAGACAGCAATCATTATTATAATGTCAAAAATCCCATCATGAATTAGGAATGGAGCATGCTCAAGGAGAAGACATTATCATTAATGTATAATGTAGTAAGGATTTAGCAATTAATTATATGGATCTCATCTAATTACAGAAAATCAAAGTAGGTAATTTAGGCCTTTTTTTTTTAAGATGGCTCTAATAAACAGGACAATATTTTCTTAATTTCCTTTCAATTTGCTCACAAAGGACATCATGCCCTGGGACTATGCATGCCAAGTGATAATGTAGGGGGGAAACTGATTAAGGTGTAACAAGTGGTTTACTGGTTTTCAAACCCTTTACATGTATAGACCAGTATTGATGCATGGAGGAGAATCGATACTGGCATAGACCAGTGGGTGATTTCACCTGACTCCAAAACTGCAGCTATTCCTAGGAGTCAAATTTAGGAGATGTCAATTAAGCAGATAATACCAACAACTTCTCACCTATTTGTTTACAATAGATCTCATTTGTTTCAAGAGCAGCCAAAATAAATGGCTCAGCTCTGCCATCCTCTGGTCCTTTCAAGTATTCAAGAGTCCATTCTTGACAAATGCTATAGGGAGTGACCAAGGACAGACATAAATTGAAAGGAAAATGTGTGTATGAAAGAGATACCTTTAACTTAACTCTATTTTTATTTTGTCTTCAAAAACAAAAGGTAATTTGATCCAAATTACTTCTTTAATTTAAAAAAAGGGATTCCTCTAGGAAGTTCACCAGTATATTTCATAGGCTATTTTTTCAAACTGGGGAGAAAATATATATGACAGGAGACAGTTCTTCTCATTAGAAGTATGCACTTTTATGAGCATCATTAGAAAGTGATGAGATGGTGTTTTGTGAGGCTTCATATTAGATTGCAGAATAGATCGGTGGCCCAGCTAAGCAGGTACCATCACTGGTAAGAGCCATGAAAATTAGATTTCTTAGTTAATTGTAACACTGAAATTGAAGGGAGCTGAGTTATCATCATGTCTGCAGTAACTGCCTCCTTAGGAGAAGCTGGCGAGCCGCGGGTACAATCTGTATCAGTTTTGGGACTGGGCTGGAGATCTGAGATGTGCAGATATCCCCCCATCTGGCTGGAAGCCTAGCCCGGGACAATCAACACCGCTCTGAAAGCTACCAGACTTATTCAATGAGCACCTTCTACACATTTAAAAGGCTGCCCTCCACGCCAGCTCTGAAGAGCCAGGCAAGAATCAGGTTTCCTCTGTGAGCTATGATTCTCAGATTGACTGCAACGCTTGCACTTTGAGGGGCTGGTAAGATCTGTTGAGAAAGGATGAGTAGATCACTACCACCTGATTAATAAAACCAACCAGACCAAAAATTCTAGAAGCAGGATATTCTTAAAATATAATTTTTCTTCTTTGACTAAGACCCTTCTCTCAGAAACCAATTCCTGAAATTTGAATGAAGAACCCTCCTATTTCCCTACAGCTCTAGGAACCAGAAGCTTATCCTGACCAGAGGAAGGAGTAAAAGACAATTTGTTTTGATTGAGCTGGGCTGCTCTTAACTACTTGTAACACTGTAAGGAAAAGCATATGTTGCAAAGGCTTCGGTCTCAGAGCATCATGAAATCCCAATGGATAGAAGGAACTTCTGTAGACAGGTTGAAATCCCTATAATAATTAGGAATTTAAAAAGAAAAAAAAAACAAATGCTGCCCTTCCCATCCTAGCCCATGGGGTAAGAGAATGAAAGCGATGACTACTTTCTGGCTCAGGATGTCCAGGAGGACAAGGGCAAGCTGCCAGCATCTCTCCCATCCTCGAGGCATCCAGAATCTTGAGGGCCCAGACGAGACAATGCCTCTACCAAGTTATCATCCTGTTGCTTCCTTAAGGATTTCTTAGGCTGTAAACAGCAATGGCAGGAGATAAGTTTGCTCATATGTGGG